CACTCCTATGTACCAAAAAACAGCACATTTCATATCACAAAAGGAATGTGCTATTTTATGTACCAAAAAATAGCACATTCCTTTATAATGTAGCACTGCCCTCCCATTGTTCATTGATTTGCTCGAGCGGGCACCAGTAACATCTCCATTGTGAGACTTCTTGTTACTGGTTTTGATATATTGAATACATCACTGGGAGCTTGCCAGGCTTTGCTGTGCAGGCAGGATACTCTCGATAGCTTGCCGGGCTTTCCGAGAGGAGCGAAGGAATTGAACCTGGGTCGGTTGCATGCAAGCGTTGTCACTCCATCCCTTCATTATATAATATGCTTTAAGATTTATTTCTTAAAAGATTTTAGATCCATAGCATTTGTACCATAATGTGTTGCTTTTTAATATGTTGGAAACTTAGAAAGGAGAAAAGAAATGATAAAACTCAGTGAACCTGACTCAATATCTCTAGGTATAAAGTACTTAGGAAATGCAAAACAAAGACCTAGAACATACAAGGTAGAAGAAAAAAAAACCAAAAGAAGACATTGGAAAGTGTGTGCTGAGAGAAATCACTTGTGTAATTCTTTTTCCTTAGAAAGTAACAACAAAAGAAAACAGAGCCTTCAGATAAGCCCAAAACCCCCCATGACCAACTTAGCTAATCAGAATGCCACTGGCCATTACTTGAATCCACCCCTGGAGTTGGTGGCCCAAACCAAACTCCTCAGTTGTAGGAAACGCTGAGCAAGAGGCAGGATTTCTGGGCAGGAGGAGAACCCATGTGAGGGTCATGTGGTAGGAATGAAAAGCCAGTTAGAGGCTCTTGGAATGCGAGACCCACTTAATTTTGGCAAAATGTAGTTTTCTGGCTCAAAGGAAAGAAAAGAAAATGCTTAAGAGTTTTTGGATGTATCCAACTAAACGATTCTGACAGACATAAAAAACAGCTGAATGAAGACCGTTGGGAGTGGCAGACTCCTGGGGCTCTTAAGCCTTAAATAGGAGATAAATCATTTAATAGAAACATTTAAATTACTGAAGATCAAGCAAGTTCAGATATAAGCCCGGTGAAACTTTTCTATTTTATCGAAACTTTGAATATGGGGTGGAAGGGAGGAATACAAAAGTTCAAAATAAACAGAAAGAACCGTTGGTTTATAAAGAACCAACGAAATCCGTCACCAGTAAAGCAAAATCACAAATAAGAAAATGATCCTTTTTCAGTTGCAAGTTATACGATACACTTGAAAAATACAGTTTTCAAATCTACACATACACAAACCACACACACACACAAACTCAACTCTTCCTGTCCCATCCTATAGATCAATTTAAAGATCTGCATATCATTTTTCATTCATCATTCACTACCTAGCTTCTTCACCTCTGTCACCATCACGCCTCCTAAGTCTCTCTGATATTCATCTACTTCTTTTACTTCTTCTTTGTTGTTGTTTTTGTTTGGTGTCATGCCCGGCTGTACTCAGAGGTCACTCCTGGCTCTGCACTCAGGAATTACACCTGGCAGGGCTTGAGGGACCATACAGGATGCCAAAGATTGAACCTGGCAAATGCTCCACCCGTTGGACTATCGCTCTGACCAACTCCTTTCCCTTCTGCAACTTTCCTAGTACAAACCACTAATCCCAAGCTTATTTGCTGGGGTTTTGGGCTTTGGTTGCAAAAAGCCACCTTACTTTGCCATGGACTAATGGGGCAGACCTGGATAAGTAGCTACTCAACATCAGAAATATTAGGTCTCCTTAGCTCAAATGTGGATAATAACAATACCCACCAACCGCAATTTAAATAAAATGATTTATATTTAAAAAAAACTCTTGGAAGTGATTATTTGATAAATCTCAACAATCACAACTGTCTTTCTTTTGGGGGGTTCAGCACAATCCCTCTCTGGGTTAAGAGACTAACTTTTGGAGCACCATCAACACTCCTTGGTAATTAATTTGTCTGTCTCCCAATCTAACTGCAAGTTCCTGAATCAAAGACTGGACCTTTTTCCTCTATATAATTTGAACATTTCATTTCATTTCATCATCCTGTTATTCGTCGATTGGCTCGAGCAGGCCCCAGTAACGTCTCTTTCATCCTAGCCCTGAGATTATATTCAAGGCTATTTAGGAGAATGAGACCCATCATAAGGCTAATAAAACAATGAAATAATAGATGATTTAGATATGGCTATTTAGAAGCAACACACTCCTAAGTGTGGTGTTTCTTTTCTTTCTTTCCTGGTTTTTGGGCCACACCTGGCGCTGCTTAAGGCTTACTCTGCACTCAGGAGTCATTCCTGGAGGGCTCAAGGGACCCTATGAGATGCTGGGGATTGAACCCGCAAGGGCGCAAGGCAAGCGCCCTACCCGCTGAACTATTGCCTGGGACCCATGAATTCGGTGCTCCTTAGAGATCATGGATGAGAAAAAACGAGCAACAAATTTGGTGACACAGATTTGAGTCAGCAAGGAAGAGAGAGTAAAATGTATCAGTTGCCACCATCGGTCTGTAACACTGTTGAGACTTCTTTTCAACTGAATCAGAAGTCTTCCTTTAGAAAGTAACTGCAGGTGGGAACAAAGAACTACTTTTGCAACTCAGCAATTTATTTCCCATAGTTCAGCAAGCCAGAGAAGTCATTTGTTCCTCAAAACAAAAAGCCAAAGCAATTGTTTCAGAACTGTGACAAGTCATTCCTGCCGAAGCAAGTGAAAAAGCCCGCAGGCAGCCGCGCTGACACTTCATTCTGTTTAGGGAGAAAGACCAGGCTGCCCCTCCTGCTCCCACTCACTCACAAGCAGAAAGGGGAGGGTCAAATGTTTTTTTCTCTCTCTGGGGCTGAAATTTGGACGAAAAAACTAGAGGCAGTTAACGCGGTTGCTTCTCTGCTGGTTCTACTGGTTACAGGAAAAGTACCGCCTCTCTTAAAAGGTAAAGGTAAAGGCCCTCCCGTTGATCGTCGATTTGCTCGAGAGGGGCCCAGTAACGTCTCCATTGGAGACTTTGTTGTTACTGTGTCTGGCATATCGAATACTCTCGGTAGCTTGCCGGGCTCTCAGAGAGGGGCAGAGGAATCGAACTCGGGTCGGCCATGTTGGCCGCGTGCAAGGCAAACGCCCTACCCGCTGTGCTATCGCTCCAGCCCTACCGCCTCTCTTAAGCAATGAAAACAAAATTGATTTTCATTGTTTTTGATTTTGTCTTTGTGTTTTTTTGCTCACCAGCCCACTGATTTACTATAAAAGAGACTAAAGGATGGAAAGAACCAGATGGAAGAGACGCATAACTCGAGAACGCTTCCCTTCATTTTATAGGGCTGCTGATTCTCCCCAAATCTTCATGCCCACCAACCCAAGAGTTCCTAGTTATTGTTAAAAAAAAAAAAAAAGGATGGGGGGGAAGGGGCGGAGCAATAGTATAGCGGTTAGGGCATTTGCCTTGCATGTAGCCAACCCGGTTTCAATCCCCGGCATCCCATATGGTCCCCCAAGCACTGCCAGGAGTAATTTCTGAGTGCAAAACCAGGAGTAACCCCTGAGGAGAGCTGGGTGTGACCCAAAAAGCAAAAAAAAAAAATACCAAACTGTGTTCAGGGTTTACTCCTGGCTCTGTGCTTGGGGATGACCTTCAGTGAAGCTCATGGGACCCATGTGTGGTGTCAGGGATCAATCAAGGGCCAGGCATGGAGACTATCTCTCTGGCCCGTTATCCTCCACTTTTAAATTTTCACTCTCATATGTGGGATATTCTTCCTTTTTTTTTTCTTTTTGCTTTTTGGGTCACACCTGGCTCATGCACTCAAGAATGACTCCTGGCGGTGCTCAGGGGACCATATGGGATGCTGGGAATCGAACCTGGGTCGGCTGCATGCAAGGCAAACACCCTACCCACTGTGCTATCATTCCAGCCATTCCCCTCGCCCTTTTTTTCCCTTTTGGGTCACACTTGGCGATGCTCATGGGTTACTCCTGACTGTGCATTCAGAATTACTCCAGGCAGTGCTCGGGGGGCCATATAGGATGCTGGGGATTGAACTCAGGTCAGCCGCATGCAAGGCAAACACCCTACCCGCTGTGCTATCGCTCCAGCCGTCTTCCACAGAATATCAAATGCCCAAAGGCAACAGAAATGAAAAACAGGAGACCTGGTCAGTAGTAAAATGTTTGCCACTGGGCCAGAAGGGTGTGGCTATACTCAGGAAGGGAGCACCAGGACAGTGGGGGAGAACAGTGACTGTCACAGAGGCAGGCTGCAGGGTGAGAAGAAAACTGGGGACATTGGTATACACAAGGAACGTACTAAATGGAGAGGGTTTTGGGAAAGCCAACCCAATTCCAGTTTCTGTCAGGAAGCAGCCATGTATCCCAGGATGTCAGTTTGTCATGCCCGCAACATCATGACAGAAATTTCAGCCGTCACTGGTGAAGGGACTGACGTTGAAACAAAACATGCCTGAAACTCAACCGTAAATATCTTTGTCACTCTGAAATTCACAATGATTCAATAAAATAAATAACTGTCACTGTCACTGTCCTCTCGTTGTTCATCGATTTGCTCAAGCGGGCCCAGTAACATTGTGAGACTTGTTGTTACTGTGTTTGGCATACCGAATACGCCAAGGGGAGCTTGCCAGGTTCTGTTGTGGGGGCGAGAAACTCTCAGTAGCTTGCTGGGCTCTCCGAGAGAGGCAGAGGAATCAAACTCAGGTCGGCCGGGTTGGCCGCAAAATGAATAAAAATGTTGGGGGCGGGGGGGCTACAACCCAGGCACTTCGGTATGGGGGAGGCTACTCCTAGCTCTATGCTCGGACAGCTCCGTGCGGGCAGGGATGGAAACCAGGCAAGTTTCACGCACAGACGTGCTCCAACCCTTTGAGTAGTCTCTCCTCCAGCTCAGCCTCCCGTTCCTTGGAGGCAAACAGTGACAAGGGGTCTCCTTTGGAAGTGCCAACTGGTGCTGGTCTGACTCAGGGGCACCCCTCCGCTCCCCCCTACCTGGGCTCCGTAGAAGCGCTGCATGGCCTGGAGCAGCTGGTTGGTGTATTCCGTGAGGGTGCCCGCATCTTCCTCAAACACACTCAGCAGAGAGCGAGTCTGCAAATAAAGAAGGAAAAGGTGCCTTTTTATTTCTTCAGTGGTAACAGAGCTGCACAGGGGGCAGAATTCACACGGTCGCACGTCAACGCGCACGGCAAGGTGTCTTCTCCGGTTTGTGTTTCTTCTCGACAAGGCCGGTACACACTGCTGCCTTTCACTGAGAACTCCCTTTCTAGATCCATTTGATGGCGTGAGGACACATACAACACAATTTGAAGATCTGGACTGGGTACCATTTGAGCCAGAGAAAGACAACCCATTTTTATTATGAAGTTTTTAAAGTTTAGGCAATATGGTCACACTGTGTCTCAGTTTTTAATTTTTTTTTCTTTTTGGGTCACACCTGGCAATGCACGGGGGTTATTCCTGATTTGCACCCAGGAATCACTCCTGTCGGTGCTCAGGGGATCATATGGGATGCTGGGAATAGAACGTGGGTCGGCCGTGTGCAAGGTAAACGCCCTACCCGCTATACTATCACTCTAGCCCATAGTTTATAATATTGATGTACAAAGTTACTGCCCACTTCCTCCACCAACGTGTCCAGTCATCACAGTCCTTATGCCACCTCTGGTCCAGTCTTCATTGCTCCTACCACCCACTCCCCTCACAGTTCATATGCTCTGTAATTCACAGCGAAGGGCTTGTCATTATTCCACACTGCCTATTCTTTTTCTACCTCTGTATTCCATAGATATGTGAGATCATCCAGTACTTATTCTTCTCCCTGAGTTTTCTTAACATGATTCTCTTCAGTTCCATTCACATTGCATCAAACTATATGGCTTCATCCTTTTTTACAGCTGCATAGTATTCTATTTGTATCTATATACCACAACTTGTTCATTCATCTGTTGCTAGACATCTGGGTAGTTTCTAATCTTGACTATTGTCCTGATGCAATAAAGATATGCGATTTAACTCTTCGAATAAATGTGTTTTGAAGGTTTGTGTTTTGAAGGCCATGAACTGGAATCGTTTGGGACTTCTAGTTTTATTTTTCTGAGGATTCCCCATGTTTCCCACAGAGGCTAAACCACATGACACTCCCACCAATAGTGAATAGCAGTTCCTTTTGCACTATATCTACGCCAATACTGGTTGTGTTCAGTTTTTTGCTATGTGGCATTCTCACTGGTGTGAGATATCTCACTGTTGTCAATTTTTAAAAGATTAAGACTCAAGGGTTATGATCACCCCTTCTTTGGTCCCTACTAAATGAAGCAGCAGCAAATTCCAATTTAAAAAAAAAAAAGCCACAGAGCCTGAGGAATAGTACAGTCAGTAAGGTGCTTGCCTTGCATGCGGGTGAAACCAGGTTCGATCCTCAATAACCCATATGGTACCCCTAGCCCAGCCAGAAGTAATTCCTGAGTGCAGAATTAAGGGAAATCACTGAGAATCCTTGGATGCAACCCAGAAAACAAATAAATAAGTAAAATAACTGGATAGCTAGCTAAAAACAAACAAACAAACACATTAAAACCATAATACTCAGGGGAAGAAAATTCTCCTTGCATGTGAGGGGACCCAGGTTCAATCCCCAGCACCTCCCCCACCCCCCACATACACATACACACTCACATACTGAAGAGTATCCTCTCTCATCCAAGCCCCTAAATTAAACATCACGCCTGACCGTGTAGCTGGGATGTGGCCACCCAGGAGAGGCTCATGTCAGCAGTAAACTTTCTGTCTGGTTTTCTGCAATTCTGGATGTCTTACAGGAGTGTGTCATTCTTTCCCCTTGACACGCTACGGTTGATTCCATATATTTCATCAGTTTATTCAACCACTCTTCAAACTCATGGCCAGGAAACTTCATGTACCCCGGGCCTACCATTGATCCATCTGGGCACAAAACTCAAATGGCAATGAAACAAGAATGCTGGCGGTGCGGCTCCTTCAGGAAGACTGACTAACTAGCCTGACTCCGACAGCAGCTGAGAAATGTCACTGGACGAAAGGTGCTTCCTACTTTCCTGTGCAAGGCCCAAGAGATGCTGAGCACTGCAAACAGAATGAGGTCTGAAAAAAAAATCTCAAAGCTCACACAAAAGGCCTTAGCCAGTCGAGACTGTTAATATATCCAGTACAGAGAGAATTTTAAATACTTATTTTGTGATAATGGAAGGCTTTGAAAAATCATTTTCGACACAGAATGGGTAGTAAATTCTAGAAATGCCTTTAATGAGGTGTGTTCAAAGCACTTTACAAAGAACAATCCATTAAGGCTCATGCGCAAGACAATTTTAACTCATTTCTAACCTAATTATCGACCTGAGGCACACCCCAATAAACTGGAACAGAAAGCTGGGAGCGGGGATGGGTCCACCTTTGGGTGTATTCTACAGACTCCGCTCCTGGCTTTGCCGGACGCCTTTGAGGCTAAGAGTACCTCAAGGCTAAAAATCTCTACGAAGTCTCTAAAGGCTAAAAGGGCTCTGAGACCAAAGCACTCTCCTCAGTACCAACCCTGTTCAGAATGCACTGAGGAAGGAAGATAGGAAAGTGGTTCTTATTTTTTATTTATGTTTTGAGTATTTTATTTTTTTGGCTTTTTTAATTTATTATTAGTGAGTCACCGTGAGGTGCAGTTACATTCTTACAAACTTTCGTACTTGCGTTTCAGCTATACAATGATTGTGTACCCATCCCTCCACCAGTGCCCATTCTCCACCACCGCTGATCCCAGTATCCCTCCCACCCACCCCCACCCCATCCCCCCTCCCTACCCCGCCTCTGCAGCCAGGACATTCCCTTTTGTTCTCTCTTTCCTTTCGGGTGTTGTAGTTTGCAATAGAGGCATTGAGTGGCCATTGTGTTTGATCTAGTCTACATCTGGCACCTCCCAACCGGAGCGGGTCCTCCAAACACCCTGTACTTGGTGTTCCCTGCTCTATCTGAGCATACAGACATAGAAAGACTGCACCCATCTGTGGAATATAAAGTATCCAAATGGGAGAACAACACCCAGGAATAGGAGAGATAAGGACCAGGAGGTTTACTCCAAGGCTTGGAAGCCAGCCTCAAATGGTGGGGGAAAGTGGTTTTTAAAGCTCTCAGTGAGGGGCCAGAGCAGGTACGTAGCCTTGCACCTGGCTGATCCCAGTTCAATCTCTGGCACCCCAAAGAGTCCCGTAAGCACTGCCAGGAGTGCCCAAGTGTGGAGCTGGGACTAAGCCCTGAGCACTGCTGATGTGGCCCAAAAAAAACAAAACAAAAAAGGGCTGGAGAGCATGCATGCTTTTGCCGGTGTCAGATCCTGTGTTTGATCCTGGGCACTGACCCCCAGAGCATCTCTGGGGATAGCCCTGGCAGCCTTGGACACAGTCAGGCCCTAGCCCTGAACTCATCAGCCTGGTTGACAGAGTGCCCCTGGGACCCACTGAACACAAGGAGGCCCCCAGAAAAGAACTCTTTTAAAGGCCCTTCTATTAGGTGACATTTATTTTTTTTAAAAAAACCTGTTGATAACAGTGTTGCTGTAGTATTAAAATGAAGTTGCATATGCACGGCACCTTAGCACTGCAAATCATAAGTAAATCGCCCTTTATTTCAACTGCCATCACTAAAGGTCAGCACTTGTAGACTCTTTACAGACATTATCTTTAATCCTGTAAATTAGAGTTAGAGCTTTGATTTGGATCTTACAGAGTGTGTATGTGTGTGTGTGTGGGGGGGGGTGGATTCCCAGATTCTTTGAATGCAGTATATAATTGGGGGAAGGGACTGGATGCCAGGGATTGAACCTGGCATCAATTGAACCTTGCTGGCCGCAGCAAGACAAGCGTGTTCCCTGATGTACTACACCTCTCTAGCCCTTCAAGTTATCACCCTGGCCCCGAGCAGAACACCTGTTCGTAGTCATTCTGTCAGTGCTGTAGGGATCCAACACCTACAAGTCTAGCATCTTCCTTTGCATAACCACTATGCCCAAGAGGCTGGGAAGAGAATGGTACCACTGGATAGAGGTTATTTTGGTCTTTATATTTTTCCCGTGGATTTCAATTTATGTTCAGTACCTTCATTCTCTGCATTAATTGATTTAGCAACTATTGTTTTTAATATTCTCAGGAATAAAACAGAAAGGGGGAAGTGCAAAGGGAGGATGTAAAAAAAGAGGGATGTTATAAACGTCCCCCACAACGAGAACAGAAAGGCAACCGACAACTACTATCTGCCGTGTCGGAGTGTCGGCACCAAACGCGCGTTACTTCACTGAGCCCAGCAACTTGGCGAAATAGATGCCTTGGTTGCACAAACCCATTTTGCAGATGATGAAACTGAGGCTCACCCAGGTTAAACTTGCTCACACTCCAGAGCCGGGGAGCAGCTGGGCTGGGATGTAAGCCCAGGCGTGGCTGGCTCAGTGCCCAAGCATCCTGCACGCAGGAGGCGGCACGTGGAAGCAGATGGCAGCTCTGCTCTGTGACTCTGACAGGCATGCCTTTTGCACCCTGACTCACCACATAGGAGGGCGGGGTGGCAGGACTGAGGCTGCCAGGAACTACCGGCTTCTCTTTGGTCACTATCGTGCTTCCGACAATAATAGCTGGCAAGGGAACTGCCCCGCAGTTAACTGCCAAGGGACTGTCCCGCAGTTAGTTGTTTGACTACTCAGGGTGTACCCTGACACCCATCAGGAGTCCCGTCCTTCCTTCCTCAGTCAGCTTGGCCCTCATCACCCCGGGGGGCAGCGGGGAGACCAGCAACAAGGCTCTCCCTGTTCTAATTTTCACAATCATCAGCTCCACAACTGCTCAGACATATGTTTGGAGCGAGAGAGATGTTCTGAGACACGAAGGAAAAAAAGGAGATGAAGGTACACTGGCTGCTCAAAATTCCAGGTAAAGGTCAAAGACACTGGCGGCTATCACCGAGAGGGCGATATCCTTAATAGCGATCACTTTGGTAGTTTCCCTGATACTCAGACACGAAGATGACTTCATTATTTACTCTGTGCAGTTTTACTCTAATTTTGTTAAAATACAAGCTTAGCGAGGTTAGATGAAATGCCTAAAGTAACGGAGGCAGAATCGGGGTTAGAATTCCATCCTGTCTCTAAGAGAGCCTAGACTCTCAAGAGGATCTACTTAGTCTCAAAAGCAAATACTATGGATACAGCCGAAGCTCCAGATCACCCCCGTGTATTGCAGTAAAAAGGGTGCCAGATGCCATCTGACAAAAGAGTCCGAGAGTTTTGTTTTTTATGCTCCATAACCTAATAAGCACCGAACTGCATAATGACATGATTTGTTTTAAGCGGATTGTTTTAAGGTGTTTTCTATTTAAGAAACACAAAAACATATACAAATGTATGTGTGAGTAAATATATGTGTGTGCGTGTGTGTGTGTGTGTGTGTGTGAGAGAGAGAGAGAGAGAGAGAGAGAGAGAGAGAGTAGGTCAAAAGTCCTAACCCTTCACAATGAAGACGGAACCGTCAGGCTACGTTTAGAGCACCCCTGCATAAAAGACCTGATTTGCTCAGTGAGGGGCAAGGGCTGAGCTGCTCGCTGCGTAATCTCTGAACTTATTTCTCTGTGTGTCAGTTATGCCAACTGCACAGGGAGCAAACACAACCCCAAAATCCAAACAGGGAGCAATGGTGCTTTTGTGTTCTCCTTATCTCCGAAGCAGAATACAGTATAACCCCCGAAGAACTGGCCACCCACACGGGCTCAAAGCTGGGCTTGTCCTCCTATCTCGGCAGGATCCATGGGCACTGGAATCACGGCCTGCCTTATCTGGCTCCTGGGAGAGGCTGTGAACCAGAGGGGGGCAAGTCCCCCTAATTTCACCTGACCCTCCAGTCCCAGCACCCAGCCGTGCAAACATTCATCTTCATCCTTCAAGCTATCCAGACGTAGTGTGTGCACAGACTATTCTTACAGGGCATCGTGCAGCTCTGCAGACTGAAAGAACCAAACGGAGTAAACGTCGGTGAGGTCAGTCAACTGCCGTTCAGCTCTCCTCGGGTCAGAGTTCACACACAAAAGCCTTTTTTGTTCACTTCATGAATCCTGGGCGACCAGGTTACTGCAGCAACCCTTCTCACTCCATGACACCGGAGCACGCAGACAATAGAGGGCTGAAGGTCATCGCCTTTCAGGAGAACATTTTAGGTCGCTCGTGACAGAAAAACCAAGGTGCTAGGTAGCCGGGCAAAGGTAAACAATATGGGCAAAGAACCTGGCTGTGGTGCTTTCCAGAGTACAACCGTGGGCAAGTCACTTCACTTCTCTACTCGTGGGTCATGTATTTGGTTTGCTTTTTTCGTGCCAGGGTTCAAAGCCGGGACCTGGTACATGGGCAGCCAGGGCTTGATCTCTGAGCTCTAGACTCTGTGCACCTTGATAATCTCAGCAGAGAACTTCAAAGTTGGATGACTGTGCGAGTTCACAGACCCCAAGCATCTGGAAGTAAGCCGGGCACACAACACACATGCCTGATAGTGGTAGCTGCTATTTCTATTCTTATACGTAAACGATCCTGTTGGGTTCAATTCCCCCCAGCTCCAAATCTCCTTGAGAAAACAGACGCTTATATACCTCACCCAAAAGTTGCCAATGAAAACCATCCAATGACTATGGAAAACCTTCTTGGGAATTGGCTTCTGCTTAATTTCAGGACAGAGACAGAGCACTCTCAAAAAAGGGGCACATTCTCTAAGGAAAGAGGAACAGTAAGGAGGGACAGCAACGTAGATAGACCTCCTCTTCTACATGCCAGCTCAATGTCATCAACCAGGCCGCCCCAGAATTTGGTGGGGAGGGACTCCCTGCGGTGCCAGGACTCAGCTCACCATGCCACACCTCCCGCCTCCAGGGTGCGGAAATCTCTGCTCCTAGAGCACTTCGGAGGTCCCTGGCTCTGTTGCCCATTTGCAGAAAAGCCTAAGAAATGGAGCCCGCTCAGGAGTGGGGTAGGTGTGCCCGATCACAGCAGCTCTGGGAGCAGTTCTTCAAGGGCCCAGGTCTTCTGCTCCCAAGCAGTCTTCTGTCTACTGAGAAAATCCTCTGACCACTCAAATCGCGTGGGCATGGATTCCCTCAGGGGGGACTCAAACATTCAGAATGAGAAGAGGGAAAAATAGAGAATAAGGAGAGAGAGAGAGGGAGGGAGGGAGAGAGGAAGAGAGAGAGAGAGAGAGAGAGAGAGAGAGAGAGAGAGAGACTGTGTGACTGTGTGCAGGGGTTAAGGTATTTGCCTTGCATATGGTTCCATCCCTAGTACCCAACCCCCAAAAGTGATCTCTGAGCACAGAACCAGAAATCAGCCCTGAGTATCACCAAGTGTGGGCTCAAAAAAAAAAAATGGAGAATCAATGCAACCTCTCTATTCAATCAAGCACAACAGAAAAACATTTTTTCTTCCATCTCGGGTTCTCCCACTACAAAGCAAATTTCCCTACAATCTGAAATCACTAACAATTCTACAGGAGTAGGAACAGAGGGATAGTACAATGGGTAGAGAGCTTGCCAGGCACATAACTGACAAGGGTTCCGTCCCTGGCACCCCATAAAGTCCCCCTAATGCCAATAGAAGTCATCCCAGAAGGAAGGAAGGAAGGAAGGAAGGAAGGAAGGAAGGAAGGAAGTCAGTCAGTCTACAGTAGCACCTTCAAATCATACAAAGGAGATGTGAGGATGGACAAAATGACTCCCTATGAAGAGAATTTAGATTTCAGGGGGGCTTTGAAAAGTCCGTTTGACCATTTTCAGTGCTTGCCAATGAAAAGCAAGAAAGCATCACCGCCTGCTTCTCGTCTCTCACTCGCCTCGACGCGGCAGATAAGGAAGAAACCTGCAAAACGCAAGGGCGCACACGGTCCTTCTAAACCATTGGCACGGACCTCGGGAGGTGCAGGGTGGGCACGACCACTCCCCCGCCCCGGGAGGGGCACACATCACTGCAGAGAAAGGCAAGCACCGCACAGACGGGACCCTGTGAAAGGTAGGCGGGTGCAACGTCCCGCTCCTTTCTCAGAACGGGCCCCTCTGTGGCAGGCTCCAGCTTTAACCTGGGGCTGGGGGCCCCCGATGGCAGGGGGGTAGCTGGGCAGGCGGAAATGTTCATGCAGAACAAAGCACTGAGTTCGCAGGCAGGGCCCTTGGGCACTCCTTGGGTGGTCTCTGTTCCCCCCCACCCCGCCCCCCGCTGGCCCTGCCAGGGCTGGGCTGCAGGGCCCGGGGCCCTTAACTTGTCCCGAGAGAGTTAATGAAGCGTGCCTGGGTGCTGTCCCTTTTCTTCCTGGCGGGCCTCGGTGCCAAAGACAGGCTGGCACGGCGGGCAGAGGTCCCAGCGCCTCTCCTGGCCTCCAAGGCAGCCGCTGCCCACCCGGGATGATTGCTCACAACGGGGTCTTTTCCTGGCCCGCCAGCCACTGGGCAGGCATCTCCATCCTCCTTGCTCCGTCCTCCCTGGGGAGGCAGGTACAAGGACTGTCCCTATTTTACAGATGACAAAACTGAGGCTCAATTAAACAAGCAAGCAAGCGAAATAAGGTTCTGTTCTCTGCCAGGGGCGCTGGGAGTTGAGGCCCGGGGGGACGGGGGCGGGGGCGGGCAGGGCGCGTCTGACTCCGCAGAGTTTGCAAACGCCTCCAGCCCCGGTTGCTTGCGGGGGTGCGTTTCCCCGGGTTCTGCATGCACCGGGGGGGGTCGAGGACGGGGTCCCGGGCCCTCTGCGTCCTCTCGGCGTCCCCCCCCCCCATCCCGGACCCGATGGGGCCTCCCGGGCAAGCGGGGCGGCGGGCGGTACCTGGGGGCTGTCCTGCAGGGCCTCCTCTAGCAGGAGTTTGTCCACGGCGGGCATGGTGCCGGACGGACGCACGGACGCACGGACGGACGGGGAGGCGCGGCTCTGCAGAGAGGGTGCTGCGGGCGCTGGCGACAGGAGCTGCTCGGTGCCCGCCGCTGCCCCCCGCGCGCGCGCGTCCACGCCTGCCCAGTGGCCGCCGCCGCTGCCCGCTGGCCCGCCTGCCCTCCCCGCCCCGCCCCTCCCGCCCGGCCCCCGGCGGAGTCGGATCAACAGGAAGTGTGGCGCCCGGCGAGCGCCCGCCCCACCGGAAGTGTGGCGGACCCACTTCCGCCGTGTCCGGGCCACCCGGAGAGTCACAGACCTCTCACGACCACGAGGGCGCCTAGGGGGGTCCGGAGGTGTTACCTGCCAAGGAGGGGTCCGCAGGGTCTGTCAGGACCCCGGAGAAGGAGAAAAGACAAGGTTTTACTCTCGTGTGCTGACTTTCCAAGAGACTTTGAGCAGCTAAATTTTGCAGTTGTTACTCTTGTCACTCCCTCGCCCACTTTTTCTTTTCTTTTTGAAGCCAGGAGGACCACCCTCTATACCTCGCCCACTCTTTGGTGAGAGAAATCAAGGCCACCCTGAGAACCTGTCACCTTTCTAGAGGAAACTGCCTAAGTATTAGGGCGTAACGGTGTTTTCAGAGTTGGAAGGGGTCCCTGATTAGGTCTGGGCAGTGATTAGGTCTGTACCTATCAGGTGGAGATTAGGGACCTGGAATGCAAGGGTATAAAGTGGTGTGGTCAGCTTCTGGAAATACATCCCGGGGATGCAAAAAAAAAAAAGCATAGTAGAAATGACCTCTGCACCTGTACGTTCATTGCAGCACTATTTGACAATGGACAGAATCTGGAAACAACCAGAGAGCCTGAGAATAGGCAACTAGTTAAAAAAAAAACAAACTATGGTACAGCTACACAATGGAATACTCGCAGCTGTTAGAAAGATGAAGTTATGAAATTTGCTTCTGAGTGGATGGACATGGAGAGTATCATGCTAAGTGAAATGAGTCAGAAAGAGAGGGACAGACATAGAAGGACGGTACTCGCTGGTGGAATATAAAATATCATAATATGAGGCTGACACCCAAGGATGGTAGAGACAAAGGCCAGGAGGATTGCTCCACAGTTTGAAAGCCTGCCTCATGAGCTGGGGGAGAAGGCAGGTAGGATAGAGAAGGGATCACTAAGTCAATGATGATTGGAGGGATTATATGGGATGGGAGATGTGTGCTGAACGTAGATAAAGGACCAGATATGATGGCCTCTCAGTATACATATTGCAAACCATGATGCCAAAAAGTAGAGAGTAAGAAGGAAGATGCCTGCCATGGAGGCATGGGGATGGGATGGGGTGGGAATGGCAGGAGGGATACTGGGGACATTGGTGGTGGAAAATCCGCACTGGCGGAGGGATGGGTGGTCAATCATTGTATGATTGATACAATGAAAGCTTTGTAACTATCTCCCAGTGATTCAATAAAAAATAAAAGTGCAATGATACGATTCATTTAAAAAAATAAAGTGGTGTGGTTGGGTCAGTCATGAAAGCTGGAGTAAAAAAAGAAAAGAGTGACAGGGAGACTAGACAAATGGAACTTGACTTTTTGAGTTATGAGGTAATCAGAAGTTCCTTCTGTAGGAATCAGATTTCTCCAGTATATTGGACGTATGTCATACAAATCAACAGGAATGTGATGAATTGATACAGATTTGTGTTCCAGGGAAACACTGAAGCCTGGTGAAGGCACGGTCTACAGACACCTCTGGGAACATGCCTCGGCATCTCTTGAAAACCTCAAGTCAATTACTGCCAGTTGTTCTGGCCAGCAGAAACCTCTTCCCCCCCCCGCCCCCTCTCCCCCTCCCCCACTCCCCAGTCATGGATGGGATCCTTGGGGAAACCATCTGGCATCCTTTTACCCAAGTGCCTCATTCTGCTTGGGTGGAATCACGCTCTGGCCCGCTTTCTTAAGTCTCCTTTATCTTCTGTCAAGTACCGTTCAGTTCAGCTCATACCCAACTCTCTCTTGGCAGAAATCCTCTTCCAGAAAGCCAAACTCTAGCTTTTCCTCTGCACTTTCTCACCTTAATCTCCCTCTTCTGAAGAAGTGTTCCTCAATCTTTTTAGCACCTGCAGCCTGGCACCTGCTGCCTGTCTACAGCCCCGCAGTCCTAACACAGGCAGTAGACCCATGGTTTCCAACCTCTCTACACCTGCAGTCCCACAGTTCATAGGCTGGTGGATGAAGTGCACTGTTCTTTCCTAGCAGTGATTTTCCTAAAACAGCTAAATTACAAGACCCAGCAGTGCTCAGGGATCACTCCTGGTGGGACTTGGGGGACCATGCGGGGTGCCTTTGATCAAACCCAGGTCAGCTGTGTGCAAGTCAAGCGCCCTCCATGCTGTAGTATCTCTGCAGGCCCAACATATTTCTAAATTATTAGGTTAGTTCATTGAGTCAGCTCTTACTCCCTCTGCAAACAGCCTCCTAAGAGCATAGTGCTCAGATCTTCTCTCTCCAATTATTTAAATGGAATTTCCCTCTTCTTTTTGTTTTGCCCATCCTTCTCTCCAATTAAAAATGCCAGGCATTAGTTGCCTCCCAGACAGTAAAGTCCCACCTGGTTATAATAATATGAGGTTGTCCTAAAGGGGAAAAATGCACACATCTTAAATAGAAAATAGAGGTAAAAAAAGAAGACAATCCTCTCCAGAACCCTTGTAAGGTCTCAGAAGTCTCCCCTGGAAATCACATTTTTAAAATGTGCCACCTTGTCTTCTAATTAAAGCTGCCTTTCCTCAAGTACCATTATGGACATTGTCTAAGCCAGTTCTCACAAAATGTCATTACTTTTCAGCATTTTGCAGGGTCAGTTTTCATTTCGTTTGGGGATTGTGGGCCACGTTCAGCAATACTCAGGGCTTACTCCTAGCTCTTAGCTCAGGGATCACTCCTGGCTTGGCTCAGGGAACTATCTGGAGTGTCAGGAACTGAACCCAGCTCTGCCACGTACAAGGCAAGTGCCTTACTACTGTACTATCCCTCTGACCCCCAATTTTACAGTGCCTTTACGGGCTTAATAACTTTAGTGGAATTTCTTGGGGCTTAACTACCACTTATAATATTGTTTCTCTTGGGAAAGTCATCCCAAATTCAAAAGAACTAAATTACAAAACCCAGCAGTGCTCAGGGTTCTGCACTCAGGGATCACTCCTGGGAGGACTTGAGAGATCACTTTGATCTCAGCTGTGTGCAAGTCAAGTGCCCTACACTCTGTGATATCTCTGCAGCCCCAACATATGTCTAAATTGTTAGGTTAATTCATTGAATCAGTTTATACTGCTCAATATTAAGCACTGTATCTCCCACTATTTTGCTATATTTATTAAGACTCGTTTAATTCTAAAGCCAACTGTCCTCCTCTTCAACAGGTTTCAAATCTGTTCCACTTTTTCTGAAAACATCTGGTCAGTTCAGGATGAACAGAAGGGACCGTGTTTAAGTTGCCCGCGCCCTTCGGAAGAGAAGGTATGATGGACTCTGGAATTTTTACTCCTTTACTTGCAGAAAAGAAGATCCGAATCTTATCAGAAACTCAGTGGAGCTTTTACTTCTTTATGGGCTCTGTGGAGCTTTTATAACTTTCACTCTTTGAAGACACTGCCCTCTGTCCCCGGAGAAGAACACAGAGAAATAAAGGGGTACCAAGGAGGGAAGGTCAGAGGAAACATGAGGCTGGAGAGTGAGAGAGAAAAGTCAGAGTGAGGATTCTTCCCTCTGTCAGCAATGACCTTTCTCTTACTTTGATGTCAGACAAGTTTAACCATGAACAAAATTCCAGCTTGCTGTGGCTTTTGTACGTGAACCCTTACTCACTTCCATATCGTATAAGCAAAATTAACCTCTTCCTTCAGTGTGCTTTCCTAACATGTGGCTAGATAATTCTCAAATAGTGTTCACCTATATTTGTTCCTGCCTTCCATGATCTTCCATGTATTGCAAGCAGGAATGTGGCTCACTTCTCTAATTATAGTGCCTAGAACATTCCCTCACACAACAGCAGTTGCTTGAGACATGCTTATTAAAAATAATGTGTGTTATCAAAAGGGAATGCCCTGCCACAGAGGCAGGGTGGAATGGGAGGGGTGGGGGGTGGGAGGGATGCTGGGACCCATGGTGGTGGAGGATGGGCACTGGTGGAAGGATGGGTACTTGATCATTGTGTAACTGAAACCCAAGCACAAAAATTTGTAGGTCTATAACTGTACCTCATGGTGTTTCACTAATAAAATAAATAATTAATTAATTAATTAAAAAAGAAAAAAATGGTGTGTGTTATCATAATGTATGATTTTCATTCCAGAGCTGAAGAAGCGATTTAATGAACTTTATTTCATTTGTGGCCTGAACGATAGGCGTTTCCCCCAATCTTTCAGACACTGTTTAACATGTACCATGCACCACTTTAGTCTGAGAAGCTCAGGGTATAGCCCGAAGCAAACAGAAGCTGTAGCCTTGAAGGAACTTCATTTTATGGGACAGAGAGAGTACAGGAGATAAGAGGCTTGCCTTTGGGAGAGAAGAGATACAGGAGAAGGTTGTGATAATTACAGGAGCAGAATCTTTTAGACAAAAAGAAGTGGGATATAGATCATGTGATGAAGACAGAAGCGGGGACAGTACATTCAGAACCAACCCTGTGGTGGTGGGTTCACAGAACTAAATTGTGGAGAATAAAAGAATTCTTTTTTGATAAAAATATTTTTTCTCAGTAAGAAGATAAAACACAAGGCCATCAACTTAAAGCAATAATGGTGAGACAGAGGATTAGATGCTTGGGCAGAGCTGATTTCTATGAAACAATTCTCTTGGGATATTGGAAGGTAAGACATAAATGTAGGGTTTCCATTTTACAGATGCTGCAACTGAGGCACAAAAAAATAACAGAGCCAAAGTTCCAAGTGCCAGACTCTGTCTGCTGCAAACCTGGGAATAGGAAACCTGAACTATTTCCTGGTACTTTATTCAAAGTTCGGGGACTCTCAAGCAGTATTCCGGG